GAGACCAGCAGATGGTGTAATGGTTACATTGCTGGACTCCCACATAGTCAACCAGAGTCCTGGACCAGGCAGCTTAAAACTCACGTGTGCATGCATGCCCAAGATCTTGAGAGGAGAATGGAGGAGAAGGGATTGTGGTGTGGCCAACCCCCTATGGGGGGTGATTTCTCACTTTCTGCCTTTCTCTGTCTCTCTGGCAAGTGCATGCGCCCTAGAGCAATAATCTCTCTTAAAATAAAGAAATATTGAATGCAAGAAGCTGACTGAGCACACTCTCAGGCATTTAATATGTAATGTTTAATTTAATATGTAGTATTATAATACTTTTCTTGATTTTTAAAAAGAATTATTTACGATTATTTCATTTTAAAATTTATTATTATTATTATTGTATTTTCTACAGGGCATGTGTGCTCACCAGAGAGAGAGAGAAAAGAGAAAGAAAGCCACCAGGTCCAGGACTAGAACCTCAGTTAGCCATGTGACAGTCCAGTGCCTTAATCACCATTCAACATGCTGATCCTGTTTGATGATTTTATATGCACTGAATTACTTATATATACCGAGTAATATCACCCTCACCAAATGACTTGGATGTTTGGTAATACTGCCTCTTTTTGTTAGGTCTCTTAAAAAATCCCTATATTGGGACCATCAGATGGCATAATGGTCACTTTGCTGGACTCCCATGTAGTCAATTGTGGTTCAAGTCCTGGACCTGGCAGATTAAAACTCAAGCTGGGCATGTGTGTGTGCATGCCCAAGATTTCAAGGGGGTATGGAGGAGAAGGGATTGTGAAGTGGCCATCCCATGAAGGGTGATTTCTTGCTTTCTGTTTCTTTCTCTCTTTCAGTTTCTCCATCAAGTACACATGCCCTATAGCAGAAATTTCTCTCTCTTAAAAAACAACAACAACAAAACAAAAAACAACCCTGTATCTTTTTTCCCTGGTTTTAGGCAGTAGGCTATCATTTATTACTGTTGTCATTGGGGCTGGTTCTAAAATTAGCTCTTATTCCCTTTTACCTCCCTTACTATTTGCTGCTTCTGATGTATTTCATACTGAAAAATCAGATAACCAAAGCATTAGAAATGTATCTAAATTGAGAATAAATAGATTAAGGAGGAGGCTAATGAAGTCTCTGTCATAGTTATTACTGCTGTTCATAAGCCATTTTTAGCTATTTTCATGTTTCTTGATATATCCCATACAACTCAAAGAATCACATAAATGGAAAAATGAGCTGTTCTATATATTTCAGAAAGAAGATAAATGAAACATATAGTTCCAGAGTTGATGTGGGACAACATCAGGCTGTGGCTCAGGAACATATTAGAAATTAGAAAGGATAAATCCTTATCCATTATTCTTTTTGAGAAAGATTCATAAGTCACCAATCTTTTTTAAAAATTATTTTTATTTAATTTTATTTATCCATTTACTTTAATTTGACCAGAGAGTGCCAGAGTAAGAGAGAGAAAGAAAGAAAGTGAGAAAGCAAGTCACCAGGTCCGGGACTCGAACTGTGATCAGCCATGTGGTAGTACAGTGCCCTTAACCACCACACCACCTGTTGGTCCCCATAAGTCACCAATCTTAATATAAAGGTAGTTATGGGATTAATATATATTGAGCATTTATCAAGTAGTTAGTCTCCTGCATATATTACTTTAGTGCTCAAACAGCTCTGAAAAGTAAGAATTATTATACCAGTTTATAATATGCAACAGATGCTCAACAAGGCTGAAGTGACTTATCCAAGCTGAAAAGTACCAGAACCTGAATTTAGACTAAGGGTTTGCCTGGTTTCAAAGCTCACTGGTGTCTCATAAGGCCCAACTCTCTTTTACACAAAAACTTATTTCTTATCAGCAAATAAATAATGAGGAAATGTAATAGAATATTATTCAGGGCTGGCCACATAGTACAGTAGCTAAGCACCGAGGATAGGAAGCCAGACCCCACATGCCTGACTGTGGTTTGTGTCCTGGTCCAGCAGCTTAAAAAACACACAGGGCATGTGTACATACCCCAAATCCTTATGGAATGGAGAAATGGAGTATAAAGGATTGCAGTATGACCATGCACCATGTCACATTAGGGGTACTTTCTCTCCCTACTCAATACCCCAAGTGCATACACCCTCTGGTCATTAAAAAAAAAAAAGGCAAAATAGACTACCACCCACAATCACAACAACATATATTAAGTATATACGGATTACTTCTAAATGCAGGAGATATCTATGGGAAAAAATTAATATTACTGAAAAATTAATACTACTAAAGGAAAGAGGCCTGAAAAAATGACAGAGGTAAACTGATATTTGGATGGGAAGACCTAACAGAGTAAAGGTGTAAATTCTCCCCCAAATTAATCTACACATTTAATTCAATGACAAAACAAAAAACGAAAACAAGATTTTTGTAGAAACCAGACTGATCCTAAATTATATACAGAAGAATAAAAGTTCATGAGGATCAAGAATAGCTAGTATAATTCCAAAACAAGAAAAGAAAAGAATAGAGCTTTGCCCTAATATTAAGGCAAGCTGCACATTCTTAATAATTCAAACAAACATATTGATAAAGGATCAAATAGCCAATGGAACAAAATATAACCCTCATAATAGACTCATGTATACGTAGAACTTGATACATAGTAAAGGTAGTAATACAAATCATTAGGAAAAGAAGGGATCCCTTAATAAATGGAGCTAGGAAACTGGATTATGTATTAGATCCTTTCTCACAGCATGGACAAATAAAAACCCACTATATTAAAGATCTAATATATTGGATCATCAGAAAAGTCATGATGTATTTTTTTCCATGTTTTTCTATGCAAAAAAATGCCATGAGTTTTCCGATGACCCAATGGAAGACAACACTATGAATCTATAAGAAAATGTAGAAAAGTATCTTTGATCCCAGGTAAGGGAGAATTTATCTAATAAAACAACAAAGCACACACCATAAGTACAAATTGATGAGTACGACAAAACCAAACCGCACTTTCTGGTGAGGGGAAAGGTGTACTGATATCTGCAGTTTACTTAGAAATGCATCAAAAAGGGTGGATAAATGGATGAATGGAGATGATGGACGAATAGTTATGTGGAGTAAAGCAAGTATGGTAAAATATTAATTGTAGAATCTAGGTGGTAGAAATATGATTATTCGTTGTACTATTCTTCCAATTTATACACACACACATATATATGTATGTGTATATATATGAAATTGTAATAATAAAAGGTCAGTAAAAATGAAATACTTCTGTTCCACAAAGAATACTGTACATAAAGTTTAAATAAATCATGACTGACTGGAAAAGATATTTGATACACACACACAAACACATGTATGCACATATAAATATAGAAAATATATCTTTTATATGTGTATGTACAAACTCATGTCTAACAAGGAACTTCTGTAATCAGCAAGAAAAAGACAACTAATAGAAAATGTGTAAAATAAATAACTACTTTAAAGTAAAAGAAAATTCAAATGGCTAAAAAAGCATAAAAAAGAAGATCAATCTCCTATGTAGTGAAAGAAATGCAAATTGAAATAAAAGAGACTGGGAACCAGTGGGTAGCATAGTGGTTACATCACTGGACTCTCATGTAGTCGGCCACAGTTCAAGTACCAGACCCGGTGGCTTAAAACTCATGCCAGGCATGTGTGTCATGTCCAAAATCCTGAGAGGAGAATGGAAGAGAAGGGAACGTGGCGTGGTCATCCCCCTGGGGAGGTGGCTTTTTGCCTTCTGTGTCTCTGTTTCTCTCTGTCACTCCAGTGACTGCACACACCCTATAGCAAAAAAAAAAAATATCTCTCTACAAAAGAAAAGAAGAGGGAGACTGCTTGAAATCCTAGATTGGCAAAATTTAAAAAAATACAATATTAGTAATGGAGTATGAACAAATAGTTTATATTGTTCATCAGAATATAAATTGGCACCATTATATTCTAGAGCAATTTGGCAATATGTAGTGAAAAATCTAAATGCATTGTTTACAGGATCCAGGAATTCTATTCCTGGTTATATACTTCAGATAAACTGAACAAGAAACACAGACAGTCAAGGCATCTATGAAGATACTCTGTATAGTACCATTTATAATACCAAAGAAATGGAAATAACTATCTACCAATGAAAAATGAAATATTGTGATATTAGTATTTGATGGAACATAACTCAGCAGTCAAGAGGAATAAACCATATGTGAATATGGATATATCTCAAAAATAACACTGAGAATAGGCCAGCCAGTGGTATGGTGGTGAAGGCGGCTAGATCACACATAAGAATTGCATGGTTTGAGTCTCAGATCCAATGGCTTGAAAAAACATGCCAGGAACATGTATGTGTGTGCCCCAAATCCTGAACATAGGGAGAAATGGAGAAGAAATGGTGTGACCATGATCCATGGTTTTGCTTTCCCTTTCTGGCAAGCACATGTACCCTCTAGCAAAATTACAATATAAATAAATAAATAACACTGGGTGAAAAAAGTAAGAAACTGAAAAGATGTACAGCACAATATCTTTTCATGTCAAAAAAGGAAAAAGTCTACGTATACCAAAAATCTTAAAGACAATGCATATATATATATATATATATACACACACATAAATAAATATATAGAAGATGGTTTGAAAGGACACATATCAAATATGCTAGAGTAGATGATTATGGGTGGAAATGGGAAAAGAACTGGACCATAACTGAGGACTGAAGGGGGAAAAAAAAAAGAAAGAACAACCAAATATGAAAAAGGTGTCATGCATGAACTGCTGATGACAAAGAATCATAAACTAAGGAGACTATGCTACCAATTATTTTCAGTATTTCTGAAGTCTAAGTTGAGCATAAAACTCTCTCCATCCTACCTACATTCCCTGAAATACCATAAAAACACTTGCTTAAAGGAAATATCAAAAAAGTAAAAGAGAAAGGAACTGTCTACCTCCCTGTCACGTGGCTTACCGGAGTACACAGCACATGAGCAGCAGATGGGTGGGGACATTAGCTGTATTGAGCATACTGGGTGTGTCTGATTTCATACAGGCCAAGAAGGCACGCATCCTTCTGTTCTTGTCCTCAACTGCTTTGCCTAGCCAGAGCTTCTTGAGGTTTGGGCATGTCCATTCCCGAAATGTCAGTGCAGACACTAGCTCAGGAGTCTGAGGTGACTTTCCTTTATATGCAGACCACTCTTTGAGGATCACTGAAGGAACTGGAAAATAGAAATTTAGGAAAAATAGGCTATAATTTCTGAGCATTTTTTTTTCAGCTGGCCACAGCTGACAGAATCTGTTGCATTTCAACATCTTTTAATTTTTTTCACTATAATTTTTATTGTTAGCAGCAGTAACAGCAGAAATATCAATAGTAAGCATTTATTAGGTGCTTGATATGTGTAAGTACATATATTGTGTCATTTAATCCTCATACAATTCCTGAGAATAAACTGTTATGACTATATTATTACAAAACAATGCTCATTTTGCAGATGAAGAAATCAAAGACTGGGCCACCTCTGTACCACACATCCAAAGGAAGTCGAATTCCATGAAGCCAATTAGGGTTTGAGTCTGGCCCTGGTGACTTTTAAAACTTGCCAGGGGTGTGTTTGCACATGCTCAGAATCCTGATGAGAACTAGAGGAAAAAGGAATGCAGCATGACCTTGCTCCACTGGGGTGGGTGTATGTGTATGTGTGTGTTTTTTACTCTATCACTCCCCCACTTTGATCCCTCTCTCTCTTTCTTATACATGTACACATGCCCTCTGGCATTAAAAAAAATCAAGTGTATACGTGTCACATTTTTTTCAATCCAATCATCAGTTGTTGGGCACTTTGATTCCATTTCTTAGCAATTGTGAATGCTACAATAAACATATGAAAGACAATAGGTACTGGGTAATATAAAAAGCCTATTTTTAGTTTTAAAAGGAAATGACAAATCATCTACAAATTTTTTATGCCATTTTATATAACCACCATTAAATTATGTGTGATCTAGTTTTTCTATATCCTCTCCAGGATGTGGTATTATCACTATTATTCATCTTAGTCACTTTGATACATATGTAATGATACTTCATTATGGTTTTAATTTGCATTGCTTTAATGGCTAATAATGTTGAGTATCTTCTCATGTCTTTATTTATCACATGTATATCCTCTTCCAATTGATCCAGCACCATTAAAAAAGTTACTATCCTTACTCCAACGAAGTACTTTCACAGCTTGATTAAAAAAATCAGGTGACTGTATCTGTGTGGGGCTATTTCTTGATTCCCTATTGTGCTCCACTGATTTGTGTCAATACCTCTGTCAATACCATAGTCTTAATTACTGTAGCTACAGTAAGTAGGTACAGCAGTTGCTCCCAATTTATTCTTCCTTTTCTTTATTTTTCAATGGACAGAAGGCACATGTGTTTGCCAGACATAGAGACTCCCCAAAAAGTACATGATCACAATGCAATCCCTTTTTCTGCATTTCTCCATTCTGTTGGGATTTAGGGCACACATACACACATGTCCAGTGTTTTTTTGAAGTCACTGGGGCCAAGATCCAAACCATGGCTGATCATGTGGGATATGGCTCTTAACCATTAGGCATGAGGCTGGACCTATTCTTCTTTTATAAAACTGTTTTAGCTATTATACTTCTTTTGTCTATCATGATAAATATTAGAATAATCTTCCCCATGTCTACGAAGAATTTTGCTAGTATCTGTATAAGAATTATGTTGAATCTGTCTATCCGCTTGGAGAAAATCAACATCTCTCGTTGAGTCTCACAATCCATTTATGTAGGTCTGCTTTGATTTCATTCATCAGCATTTTGTAATTTTCAGCATATAGATCTTAAACACCTTTTGTTAAATTTACAACTATTTTTCTTTGGACAGATGGTAAACTGTATTGTACTTTTTTTTTTTTTGAGAGGTTTTTGCTATAGGGCACGTGCGCTCGCCAGACAGACAGAGAGAGACAGAGAGATAGAAAGCGAGAAATCACCCCCCAGGGGGGATGGCCACGCTGCAATCCCTTCTCCTCCATTCTTCTCTCGGGATCTTGGGCACGCACGCACACACGCCCGGCGTGAGTTTAAGCCACTGGGCTCAGGACACGAACCACAGTTGGCTACGTGGGAGTCCAGCGACATAGCCATTACGCTAACTGCTGGTCCCCTGTATTGTATTTCTAACTATGGTTCCATATATTCATCATTAGTATATTGACAATCAGTTTTTATATTTATTTAGCATTTTATAAACTTAATAAACTTACTATAATAGTTCCAGAAGTTTTGTTGTAGATTCCTTGCGATTTTTCTATGTAAACTACATGTCATCTGTAATTGCAGACAGGTTTATTTTATCCTTTTTGAACTATATACCTTCTATTTCATTTTCTTGCCTTATTACTCTGGTTAAAACTTCTAGGATGATAATGTAGAGTGAACATCCTAGCCATGTTCCTGATTTTAAGAGAAAAACAGTCAGTTTCTTGCTATTAAGTATAATGTTAGCTGCAGGCATTTTGTAGATGTTCTTTATCAGGTTGAGGAAATTTCTCTCTAATCCTAGTTTTCTAAGAGTTTTTATCATGACTGAGTATGGAATTTTGTCAGTTGCTTTCTTTTTCCATTGAAATCATCATTTGCTTTTCTTCTTTAGCCAGTTTATGTGGTAGATGATATTGTTTTATTTCAAATACTGAATAAGCCTTGCAATCATTGAATAAACCCTATCTGACCATGGTATATCATTCTTTTTATATATTGACAAATTCTATTGGCTAGCATTTTGTTAAGAATTTCTGCACCTATTAGGTGTTTGGAAAAGTCATGAAACATTTTTGCATGAAACATAGGAAAAAAGTCATGACTTTTCTGACAACTCAGTACATTGCCTCAGCGTGTTTGGGCTTCTATAACAAGTACCACAGACTGGGGGACTTATAAACAACAGACATTTATTTCTTATGGTTGTGGAAGCTGTAAAGTCCAAGATCAAGATGTTAGCAGATATTTCTGTTAAGGGCTGCTTGCTAGTATGCAGATAGCTGCCTTCTCATTGTATTCTCACATGGCAGAGAGCAGAGTGATATTTCTGGGGTCTGTTATAAAAACTAATCCCGGGCCAGTCAGTGGCATGGTGGTTAAGGTGCTGGATTCCCACATGGCTGACTGAGGTATGAGTCTGGGATCCAGCAACTTCAAAATCACAACAAATAAACAGATAAATAATAAATAAATAAATGTTGAAAAACAAACAAACAAACTAATCCCATTCATGATGACTCCATCTACATGACCCAATAAACTCCCAAAGGCACTATCTTCTAATGCCATCAAATTGGGAGTTAGGATTTCAATACATGAATTAGAAGAGACATAAAGATTTAATCTATAACATATACATGAGGGATAGTGGTCTGAAGTGTTGTTTTTATCTATACTGTCTTTATCTGGTTTTATTATCAGGGTAATACTGACTTATTAGAAGGAGTTTTGAAGTGTTCTCTCCTATTCTTCAGAAAAGTTGTACAGAATTGATATTAATTCTTTGCTAAACATTTGATAGAATTCTCCAATGGAACCAACTAAGCCAGCTTTCTTTTTGGGAAAATTTTAAGTTAAAATTTATTAATATTTATAGGGCTGTTCAAATTACCTAGTTCATATTGGTTGAGTTAGGATAGTTTGTGTATTTTGAGAAATTGGTCCATTTCACTTAAGTTGTCAAGTTTATGGGTGTGGAGTTGCTTATACTATTCCATATAATCCTTTGGATGTCTATAGGTTCTGTAGTGATATTTCATTTAATTTTGATAGTAGTAATTTTTGTCTTTTTTTTTTGAAGTGTTGCTATAAATTTGTACATTTCATTGTCCTTTTCAAAGAACCAGACAGAAAGACAGTACCCTCAACAGGGTCTTGATACCATAATCCACTCCCAGTTTCAGCCAGCCCTGGATCATGGGTACAAATGTGCCTAGTGTACTCAGGGAGGTCTCTGAACACAAACGTGGAACCTTCCCATGTGGGTCAGCCTTGCAGAATGATGCATTTTACCACTGTGTCATCATCTGGCCCCAACTCTTGTTTTAGCAAGCTTTATCTGACACAGCTCCAGTGGGTAAAGAGAAACAGTTTTCCTGCTATCAGGTGTGAGTAAAAGTCTTAAATCTCCATTCGACCCAGTGTGACACCTCCCCAGTAGGAGCAGGTAAAGCAACTCATTACAGCTTGGTAAGGGTAGAAATCTAGGCACTTCACTTAGTCTTTGCTGGTACAGGCAGGGATGGACCACAGTTTTTCTGTGGTGTTTGGCTTGAGCACAGTGATAAGTATCTAAACAATTTCTGTGTTGCTAGATTTCTCCTTTTTGGAACTTTGGCCAGAAAAGAGAGGCTTTTGGGGAGCTTTTATGGGTCTGCAGTAGCTGACATTTCTGGGCTGCCAGTTTGTCCCATGTCCCTCAATCTGGAATATGTGAGGCAATTTCAAAAACAAGGGGCCAGCAGGTGGCATGGTGGTTGAGGCACTGGATTCCCACATGGCCAACCACAGTTCAAGACCCAGACCTGGTGGCTTGCTTTCTCACTTTCCTTCTCTCTCTCTGGTGAGCACACATGCCCTGTAGCAAACTTAAAAAAAAGATTAAAAAAATTTTTTTAAATAATTTTTTAAAAAATGAAAAGCAAGAGAACTCATCACTGCAACATTGCATCATTCTTTGGGTTCCAAGGTCCTGAGCCAATATGCCTTCTCTTAACCTTCTTGGGAGTCTTGTAATTGTTTTATATATAATATCTGGGGATTTTAGTTGTATTTAGCAAGAAGGATAGGGAAAAGTATATATTATCTACTTCATATTCCCAGAAACAGAAATCTTAAGTGTCCTTCAAACACACAATTTGACCATGTTACTCCACAGCTTAAAACACTTCAATGGCTCTTACTACTTACTAGATCAAATCCAGAACAAAAACCCCATCGAAGAGGAGCAATTGTGTCAGATACATCTCTACATCCCCAAAGCCCAGCATGGTTCTTATAAGTACAGTCATGTGCTGCATAACATTTAAGTCACTGACAAATCACATACAACAGTGGCCCCATAAGATTATACCATATAGCCTAGGTGTGTGGTAGGCTATATCATTTTGGTTTGTATAAGTATACTCTATGGTGTTTGCACAACAATGAAATCACCTAGTGATGCATTTTGCAGAACACAGTTAATTGTCATATGACTGTAGTAGCTACCATGAATGCTTGATGTTTGCAGAATTGGAGTTTAAGTTAATGTATCTTCCATATCAATATGTTTCCTGGTAAATGATACATTTTCTTAAAGACCAACTACTCTCTATCCTAAGTATGATATGCTTGCATAGACAGTTTTGCTCTGTGTGAAGTGTTAAACTGTCAATACTAGAACTACACTTACCTTCTACAGGAAGCCGCCGCCTTATGGCCAAGCGTTCCATTTTCCGTTGTGTCTCTGCCAGACTAAAAAGGACTCCATATACGTATTGACGAGCTGACCGGAACAAGAGAACAGCTGGAGGCAGCTCCATGTTACTCTCATCCTCAATACATACAGGGATCTTAATCTCACCCTAACAATAGAACAAATAGTCCAGGGAGAATATAACAGTGAGTTAGTTCAAGGTTTAGAACTGAGAAGAGAAGAACCAGTAATGAAGTATAGCCTCTGTAGCCTACCCACTACATTTTCTATTTGTTTTTAGAAAGAGTTACAGATTGAAAAGATGTGACAAGCCCAGATGATCACAGCTCTGCACAACTGTAGCTGATTAACAGGGAAAGTCTGTCATAGACATTTTGCTGGTGGATGAATTTGTAAGATCAGAGAAGAGGAGCAGCTCTACAGAAGGAGAAGTGATAAAGAACAAGGACATAAAGCCTCTTCTTAGACTTTGTCTATCCCTAGAATCAGATTCTACTGACTTGGTGAATTATTTACTTCAAAATCTCACAATTATACTTCTTTTTCAGGGGCCTCATTTACTGCAGTCCCATTTCCTGCTGGTCTTGCCTCTGACCTGAGCCCCTTAATACAATGATGGGCCTCAGCACACTTGGTCTCCTTTTATCTCCATTTAGATATCAATGATCAGAATTTTCGCAGTAGGTCATAGTCCTAGGAAATGTGAAGGACAATGTTAAGAGAAGGTAAGGGACCAACTGATGGGTTAGTGGTTAAGGCAGCTGGATCACATGTGGCCGACTATGCCGTTTGAGTCCTAGACCTTGTGGCTCAAAAATCGTGGCAAGTACGAGTGTGTCTATGCCCAAAATCCCAAGAGGAGAATAGAGAAGAAGGGATTATGGCATGGCCATTCCCTCTAGGAATACTTTCTCACTTTGTTTATCTCTCTCTCTGTCTCTCCAGCAAGAACATGTGCCCAAGAGCAAAATTATCAAAAAAAAAAAAAAAAAGAGCTGAGATGTAGGTGCTGATATACTGTGTTACCTTTGTTAGAATGTGGTAGATATATGGATACATAAGCCCCCTCCGGTGTCTGTGTTCAGCAACCCTCAAGACTTCTGGAGCTACTGGAGGTAGGGGTGGAATGGTGATGTCTATGTGGTTCCTCGTAGACATGGACAGCAGAGATGGGATGTGGGGCTCATCATCACCTAGGCTGCCTACAGAAACTTCAGCATCAACAGGCTGTACCCAGGACCTTCTATCAGTATTGGATTCTTCCCATCCAGGCTGTTGTTGACGTGTTTCTGTGATGTGACTAAAAAATAGAGAAAGATAGTGTGGAAGAGAAAAGAAAAGTTGATAAAGATATTTTTAACTCAAATATCCATTTTGATTATGAGAAATCTCACAAACCAGGATGCTGGGCTTGCATTGGACCTTTCCTCTCAGCAGGCATCACTGCCCTTCTGTTTCCTTTCACATGACACAAACAAAGTGATCCAAAGTCATGAGAATCCCCACAAATACTTTACATCTTGTAAGATGTCATGTTTAGCATCTATGTTCTAAGAAAATAATTACAATTCCAATGTCAAAGCAGCTTTGTTTCCCAGGAATGATCTTCTTGGAAGAATAAAACACTTCAAATGAAATGAACCAGAACAAAATCCTAATGCTGATCCTCAGAATCTTGTCTTAGTTACCAAGCAATATAAATGCCTACTCAACTATTCCAATACTTGAACTCTGTAAATTCTTTTTTTGTTGTTATATTCAGCCTACTCCCCAAATTGAGAAGGAAAACTATGATACATAGTACATTTATATCGGGGTTTCCCTAACCAGCTGCTCTGCTGTCTTTTACCTCAGTAGCCTGACTATGTAAAAATTACCACCTGCCCAGGGCCAAATGAGTATGAAATGGACAAGCATAGAGAAAGCTTTCCTACTTTGATTTCCTAAGAGCAAAGAGCCTCAGGGAGAAACCATGAATGTACACTTCTCTATATTCCCTACA